TTCTTTTAAGGTAGATTTATTTTTTTTCCTAATTGACCCCGTCCTTTCTTTCAATTGAAACGAGTTGTGTGGGGACAGGCGAAGGTACCAGTCAAATTGTTTTTTTTTTGTTTTTTTTTTGATATGTTTGGTATGTTTTGAAGTAATAACTAGGGAAAATGGTTTGCCTAAATATTTTCAGCGAAAGAGAGTCAAATTAGAGCGGTATATTATTACTTGCTTAATTAACAGCATCGCCTCGTACTAAAAGCATTAATGAATGTTGGACGTAATAGTTCATTATTGGATAAGACAATCGCATCAAAATGTATATGTTTAAGTGAAACAGGGTACAGGTGCCACAAAATTTAAAAAAAAAAGTTAATGTGCAGAAATATTTCTAAACGATTTAATTGTGATTTACTTTTTAAAAAATAAAACGTTAAAAGACGGTTTGAAATTGAGGTATAAATTCAAAGAAAGTTTCAATTTAAAGTGAGTTACGGTATATAAATCATTCAGCTTCATTTGTCCTTTATTAGCCTATTTACTACGTTTCTACTCCATAACTAAGACAGGCGACGAAAATGATTTGTATAAACAATGGAAACTTAGAGCTTTAAACATTTTAATTTTTAAATAAACTATTCAAAAAACGTAACAAATTTAAAATCCGCTTGAATGGAAGATAGATTAATTGATTGTATGTTGTTTAACGTTCCTCTCTAGAATTTTTCACTCATGTGGAGACACCACCACTTGCCGGTGGAGAGCTGCAAATTTTGTGCTATACTCGGCACTCTGAGTCATTGAGCAGGAAGGGATCTTTTTCGTGCCAGCACCTACTGCGACACGTGACGGTTATATGGTCTCATCCGAAGGACCGGTCTCCACGTCCCACAGTGGGATTCGAACCCGCGACGTAAGGATTGACTCCTTACTTCATTGCATGGAAGAAGTGAACGTATATTTTTTCATGAATGTTTATAAAAGGAATAAACTTTTTAAAAAACAAGTTTATATAACTTGGCGTATCTGAATTTATTATTTCTCAATTGAATTCTTCGGTGATACAAAAAATACATGGTGTTTCTTTTTTATCGTAACAGTTATAGGGAATAAAGTTACGTGCGTGTGTGCTGGTGAGTGGATGCTGTCTCATAAGATTTTTTTTTTTTAAATATAAGGATCGATGTGCTTTTTGCAAGGGGTGTCCCGTTTTGCGCGCGGTGTCCTTCTGCATCGGATCCTCTCTCTCTATATATATATTTCTTTTAATCTTTAAGTATTACAGGTGCTTTATATATTTTATAAATTAAATTAGATTACTGTCTATAAGAAGAATAATTTATATGGATATAAACAAATGCTATTTTCCTACTGATTATGTTATAAAGCGGTCCAAGATTCTGTCTAGACCTCCCCCCCCCCCCCCCCCCCGCTTTATCTTTACAAAATTACCAGATCTGCTCTAAATTAGCATGAAAATAGTAATAACTAGGAGACTTATTGTTCACAGAACAATAAAAGATCTTTCCAACTTTTTAAGTGTTTCCGGGTCATTTGAGAAAAAAAAGAAAAAAAAAATGCAAAACAAAAAAATGCTCGCAGCAGGATTCGAACTCGGGACCTTCAGATCTACGCTACAGAAACACGTGTATTTATTTGTTTGTGGCACAATGTAGTGAAGAATAATGAATAGATCTGAGAAACACGATTGGTGTATAATGAAAATGCCGATTTCTTGTAAAAACAATTCATTTGAGTTTGTTTATACTTTGAATAAATTGAGTTAATTATACAGAGCTTATTATACATTCGAACTTCCGTGTCGGCACTGTGTTTACAATTTATGAAAATATAGGCGCGTTCGTTTTGACACATATGGTGAACTCATAGGTAAGATTAAATAATCATCTCTATTTGGATTGAATTGATAATTATCAGCGTAAATCAAACTTGAAAGATGCATTTCATGAAGAAAACTGTGTCACTGAGAGGGTGGAAATTTATTTGATGGGAAAATTCGCTATTTTCCAGATTCATTCGATTAATATATTAAATCTAAATAAAATCATAAAAAATTTGAGGTAGGGTCAAGGTCAAAGGTCAAGGTCATTTTAAGCCCCCCCCCCCAAAAAAAACCCGTATATAAGCAATTTTGATACTTTCCCAATGACCTTGACCTTTGACCTTGACCTAATCTTCAAGGTCAAAGGTCGAAAGATCTCATGCATTGTCCACATGTCATTACGACTTGTCGTTAAGAAGTTTTCAGTTCTTCGTAAACATGAGAAACTGTCAGTGTCAATAACTGCTTAAAATGGTTGACGAATTCTTTCGCATTAATAGAATGAGAAGTGTACTAAATTAGTCGCAGACATTGTTGAAGGTTTTGTACCTCTACGGTTTACGGTTTCGGAGGAGTAGCGATAACAAGGGTTTACACTGAAAGGGGCACTAACTTTTAGAGGAATCAATCTTAGGGGACAAGCATGAAATCTCTGAAATGGTTTTAAGAGTACATACTAAAGATGTAAAGATGTGTAGAATTTGGTGAAGAACAAAAGAGCTATAAAAAATGCTTAATTTTACATATTTTGAATGACCTTGACCTTTGACCTTGACCTAGACTTTAAGGTCAAAGGTCAATAAATCTTTTGCAGTTGGCCCCATGTCTCTACGACTTGTCGTTTGAGAAAAGATGTTGGTATTCATAAACATCACAAACATTCAGGGGCAATAATTCATTACAGGAGTTTACGAATTCTTTCGAAAAGACAGATTGAAGCATCTACTGAATAAGTTGTAGACATTAGTTAAGGTTTTGTAACTCTACGTTTTACGGTTTCGGAGACGTAGCGATAACAAACATTTATTGCGAAAGGGGTCGTAACTCCTTGAGGGGTCGGAATTCATATACGCAGGGTCAACTGCGAAAATCATTTACGAAGTACATTCTTATGGTCTATAAATCTTTTCGATAAATCTTGAAACTCAAAAACACGCGGCGGAAAAATAATAATAATAATAACTAGGAGACTTATTGTTCATAGAACAATAAGAGGTCTTTCCACCTTTTTAAATTTCTTATAGTTTTATATTTTACACTCTAAATTTAATTTTAAGGGAAATAGCTTGAAAAAAAATGAAAATGTAAAAAAAAAAAAAAAAATTGAAATGACCTTGACCTTTGACCTTGAAAAATTTTTCAAGGTCAAAGGTCAAGGGACACATTGCAATTAACCCAATGCTTCTACCATTTATAGTTTTCAAGATATAAGGTTTAATATAGTAAGTATAAAGAAGTAAAGGGCAATAACTCATATAAGGGGTCATTAGATCCTTTAGTACTTATACAGTGAAGGTGTGCCTAAAGACCCTTAAGACATAAGTGAAGGTTTCATGCCTCTACGGTCTACAGTTTTGAAGTAGTAGTGATAACAATGTTTTTCGCATAAGGGGCAATAACTTTTGATAGAGTCTATCTTGGGGAACAAGAATGAAATCTTTGAAATAGTTTTAAGTGTACATATTAATGATGCAAAGACTGATTGCATATGTTAAAAGACAAAGGATATATAAAAAGAGCTTAATTTCTCATTTTTGCAATGACCTTGACCTTTGACCTTGACAAAATATTCAAGGTCAAAGGTCATGGGTCACAATGCAGTTCGCCCCATGCTTCTACCATTTATAGTTTTCAAGATACAAGGTTTAATAGTAAGTATAAAGAAGTTAAAGGGCAATAACTCATACAAAGGGTCATCAGATTCTTTTGCACCTATACAGTGAAGTTAGGTCTAAAGACCCTTAAGACATTAGTGAAGGTTTGGTGTCTCTACGGTCTAAAGTTTCGGAGGAGTAGCGATAACAAGGTTTTTCGCACAAGGGGCAATAACTTTTAAATGGGTTCATGTTAGGGGACAAGAATAAAATCTTTAAAACAGTTTTAAAAGTACATATTAATGATGCATAGACATTAAGTATATGTTAAAAGACAAAAGAGATATAAAAAGAGCTAAATTTCTCAGTTTTGGAATGACCTTGACCTTTGACCTTTCCATAAATTTCAAGACCAAAGGTCAATGAATCTTATGCATTTGGTCCCATGTCTCTACGTCTTCTCCTTTTGAAAATTTTTAATTATTTGTAAAATTCTAAAACTTCCAGGGGCAATAACTTATTGAAGGGGTCAATGAATACTTTTGCAATGAATCAATGAAGTGTCTACTATATTAGTCGAAGACATTAGTGAAGGTTTCATTTCTCTACGGTTAATGGTTTTGGAGGAGTAGCGATAACAAGCTTTTTTGCGAAAGGGGTAATAACTCCGAAAGGGGTCATAGTTTATATACGCAGGGTCAACTGCGAAAATCTTTTACGGAGTACATTCTTATGAATTGAAAATCTTTACGATAAATCTTGAAACTCAAAATCACACAGCGGAAAAATAATAAAAAATAATAAGAAAAAGGAAAAAAAGAAACAGAAGGAAATCAATAGGTCTTTCCACAGAAAGGTGGAAAGACCTAATAATAAACAGAACAATTTCAATAGGTCTTTCCAAGAAAGTTGGAAAGACCTAATGACATAGGATATCCCTTAGGAATAGTTACATGTAGATACTAGTCGCTTGGAAGAAAAAAAAATTAAATACTTTCTCAGTTGTTAATTCTCAAAACTATTGATGTTATTTAAATAACACGTAATTTCAAGATTTTTTGAAAATTTAATAAGACGCAGGCGACGTCATTACGTTTTCACTGAGTAACGTCAAAGTTATTTTTGGACCTCCTCACTAAAATGCTCATAAAATAGGGGAAAAGTGAGATATTTTCAAAATTAATGTATATTTGCATTTAGAAAGAGTCCGGCTATCAAAATTTACCAAAAAGTCAATTTGTGAAAATTTGACCTTAAGGGCCCTTTTCTCGTGACGGCAGTCAATTAAGTTTTACAAACCATACCATATTATATTATTCATTTTCCCTCATATAATTTAGTGAGTTCCATTTCAGTGGTGGGGCCGAGTTGTTGTTCGACAAAGTGAAAAAGCATGATGTAGAACTGCCAAACTCTGAGAAAAAATGTAAGGAACATATTTCCCAGGAAGACTGAAGTTTATTTTTAGCTCTACTGGTCAGAGACCAGAAGAGCTTATGCGATAGTAATGCATCCGTCGTCCGTCCGTCCGTCTGTCCGTCTGTCTGTCTGTAAACAATTTTTCAAAATGCTACTCCCCCTACAGTTTTGGTCCGATTTCAATATAACTTGGCACACAAGTAGACTACACTAAGATACATAATTCTGTGCATCGGTTTTTGATTTCGATGAACAGTGTTGCCGTGGTTACTAAAAATAGAAATTTCTGTGAAATTCTTTCAAAATGCTACTCCTACTACAGTTTTAGTCTGATTTCAATGTAACTTGGCACACAAGTAGACTACACTAAGATACATAATTCTGTGTATCGGTTTTTGATTTCGATGAACGGTGTTGCCGTGGTTACTAAAAATAGAAATTTCTGTGAAATTCTTTCAAAATGCTACTCCTCCTACAGTTTTAGTCTGATTTCAATATAACTTGGCACACAAGTAGACTACACTAAGATACATAATTCTGTATATCGGTTTTTGATTTTGATGAACGGTGTTGCCGTGGTTACTAAAAATAGAAATTTCTGTGAAATTCTTACAAAATGCTACTCCTCCTACAGTTTTAGTCTGATTTCAGTATAACTTGGCACACAAGTAGACTACACTAAGATACATAATTCTGTGTATCGGTTTTTGATTTCGATGAACGGTGTTGCCGTGGTTACTAAAAATAGAAATTTCTGTGAAATTCTTTCAAAATGCTACTCCTTCTACAGTTTTAGTCTGATTTCAATATAACTTGGCACACAAGTAGACCAAAATAAGATACATAATTCTGTATATCGGTTTTTGATTTCGATGAACGGTGTTGCCGTGGTTACTAAAAATAGAAATTTCTTTGAAATTCTTTCAAAATGCTACTCCTTCTACAGTTTTAGTCTGATTTCAATATAACTTGGCACACAAGTAGACTACAATAAGATACATAATTCTGTATCGGTTTTTGATTTCGGTGAACGGTGTTGGTTACTAAAAATAGAAATTTCTGTAAAATTCTTTCAAAATGCTACTCCAAATACAATTTTAGTCTGATTATAATATAAATGTGGCATGCAAGTAGACTGCACTAAGAACATAAAGAGACTTAATCAAGGATCATTATTCTATTTATTGCTGTTGAAAAGTTTCAATTTCCAACTGCTTAAGTACTTTTCTCTTCCTTTGCTATAAGTACAAACCAGTAGAGCTTCAGACTTCTGGTTTTCTTATAAATTACTTGGGCAACAGTAATTATTAGTTCACAAGAACAAACTGCTCCAATAAGCTTTTCTAATCAAAGTTTATGGTGTGTCTTTGGGAGTAATTAAGACATGAATGAAGTTTGCAGGATACAATGTAATCCCAATGTCCTCTATGCCTAGCTCCAAGTCTGTCTAGCTCTCTTTCTGTAGAGTTAAAAAAATCTCTAATGCCAACTTGTGTTTTTTAAAATTTGTGGATATATTTTGCTATATGCTCCACATATTATAGATTAAATTGTCTTGATCTCGCAATTTTTTTACACTGTTGTGACTATTTGAAAGATTCTTTTTCAGTATATACTTTTAATTATTGAAATTTTTTTTTTTTAAATTTAATGTAGTTTTGACAAAAACAGAAGAAAGCCTTTATTCAGAGAAAATGCAGACTAAACTTTAAATATGAATTTCATTATCCCCCCCCCCCCTTTGGGACCTGAGGGTTGGTCAAGGCTTAAACAATCGAATTGGTGCCGTATCTCTCTCAATTTCTGGACATCAATCAGTCAAACTGTTGGCAAAATTGCAATAAGCATTGCAATTGAACCCTCAATCAAAATTTTGAAATTCATGGCACAAGGTTATTAAAGGGTTCTACTTCTGGAGTTAGGTTGGTTGGGATAGGTTGGGGTTTTAATGATCATACAGTGAAAATGCATTTGTATTCTTTTTATTGTTTTATTTTTTTTTTTAAATAGGGAAAATACGTCATCTTTTGACATATATCAGAGATAACCTACTGAAAGAACGTCCAGAACTATTTATGCAAGGAGACACAGTGTGAGTAGAACATGATTTAAATTTCCTTTCTGTCTACATGCTCTTTTGTGTTTTAATTGTTTGACTCATTATTCTTTTCTTTTCAGAAGACCTGGAATCTTGGTGTTGGTCAATGATGCAGACTGGGAACTACTAGTAAGATATTTATATCAACAGCCTCTTAATTAGCTTAAAAATGCAATTTATTAATATAAACTTAAAGGTAGGATTCTTCTCTGGTTTCTGACTAGATGAAATATCAAAATATATTTGCTTATATAGTGTTGAATAATTGGGAAAATTTCATAATCGATAATCGGTCAAAATCGGAGAAGCTTAATCGATCAATGATTGACTTAATTGGTAATTAAAATTTCAAATACAAAATTCTATTTCGTTATAGCATTTATCATTTATGGAACAAACTAAAAATAAAATTTTATCAATTTTATTCTAAAGACGACTTTTTGTTGTATAAGTAACAAAGAAACAGAAAAAAAAATTACATATTTGCTCATAAAAACTAAAAATGTTTGTCACGACATCAGATTTTGCATTCCCTAGTTAGAATAATCTGACTGTGTCTCGGTACAAGCCCTCACCACAGATAGAATACGTCCCATATACTTGCAATGTACTATAGCAAATCGGAGCAGATCCGCTCCGAAACAATTTTGAAGAATATAAAAGGATTTGCACTGGAAATAACTTCCAAATTAATCAAAACAAATCTGACTATATTCTTGGCGGAATGGTGGCGTATGAAAATGTCTTCTTTTCTGCCTCTCAAAATTCTTATAGAAAAATAAATTTAGTTATAATTTTTACATAACCAAAGGCTTTAAAAAAAATTCAAATGTTAGTAAAATTAATAATAAGGGACTTACGTTTCAAAATGTATAAAATAAATATGATTTTCCAAACAAACTAGAACTATGTTAACTTAGCTTGTAAAATCTCCCAATCTATAAGTACATATTTGAACCCATCTTCGCTAGTCAAGGGTGACGATCTTTAAAGAGGATAGGAGCGGATCATCACCTTTGGCTAGCAAAGATGACTTGAACCAAAAATCTGTAAAAAATTAGTATTTTTTCTCTCTTAGTAAACAATCAATTTTTTTTTTGTATCATTTTGTATCTTCATGTGACATTTCATCTGTTAAAAAGTAAGAAAAATTTAAATATAAGAAGCATATGAAAATAACAAATGTATCCTAAAAAAAAAAAAAAAATAGCCGAGAAAATTCGGATTAGCTAATATCCATTTATCCTAACAACTAAGGTTGGCTCCTGATATTTAAAGTCTTAAAATTTTTTTTGTCCAGTTTTTTTTTATTTTCTATACACAAAGGTAAACTGAAAATCAAATAAAAATATGGGGGTCAATATATGCTTCTTTTGGTGCTACAGAACATTAAATATGACCATTTTTGCACTGAAATTTGTGTCTTAATCAAAAATTACATCTTCAACATTTTCCCTCCTGTATTTTTATCCAAATAAAGCCTGGAACAAAATAAACTAGAAGTCTATTTTAAAAAAGACACTTTAGAATTGTGACTTGGAAAAAGTTTCAAACTGCTTCGCATAATAAATTATTTGACCTTTCTGCACTCACAAAATGTGATTTTTCTGGCACTGAAAATTTAAGAAGCAAGAAAATTATTTTACTTTTGCAGAATTTAAGCAGATAGGTCAAAGTTATCTTAAATATTCAGAAAAGAACATCAAAAGTGGTGGTATATGATGTAAATATTGAGATATTACTAAGAATGTGTAAATTTTATGTTAAAATTGGCTCCATTTTTTCTTTGTCTTTCAGAATATATTGACTATACATGTATTAGTCATTATTCGTCAAAAGAATTCATCATGTTCTTAAGAACTAATACAGAACAAGCATAACACATTTCACTGCAAAAAACAGCTTTGTGTGCAGCCAGCATGCATGGAAAAATAGGAATCTAAATTCAATGTTAAAACTTAAAATTATGCAGAATTTTAGAAATAAAGGTCCAGACCAAAAATGATTCAAAAACACAGGATTAAACGTCCTTAAATTATTTATGTCATTTTGGTAATACATGTATTATCTTATATGCCCTATATGGTAGTATTTTTTTTTATGCAAAAAGAAAAACATTTGATCTTTTGAAATGAAAATAAGGATCACATGGTTGGCAACATTAAATTTTTCGTAATGTCCAGGGAAAAGGTAATGACCTTGACCTGAACTTGCCTCTAATATAAAATGGTCAAAGAGGATGTTGCAGTTCTTTTGTTATTTTCCCTGAATATGTAGCAGATAAAAAGAAGAAATTTATGTTACAGAAACTGATATTAATTTTACTCAAATGCAACAGTATAATAGTACAATGAGGAACAATATTTGGAAGCTGCATATTGACTTCTAATTTGCCATAAAATGAAGTTTAAATTAGTCTCACACCAAAATATGTAAGATTTTCGGATTTTTAGGTAGGGAATCCCCATTATTCTTAAAAATTGCCTACTTGAACACAATAATCTTGATATATGCACAAAAAGGCAGGAGTTTTTTTCAAAACTGCCATTTCCGATTTTCGTTTCAAAGAGGCACATTTTTTAAAAACGTTAAAAATGAGTAAAAATTATTCTCCATACGAAATGCAAAATGTGTACATAAATAACAATGGTCATCATCGTGTCCGAAATGATCTAGTGGATACGCTGATGGACTGCTATCTGATATAGCACTTTTACCAGAACATGGATTCGAATCCTGGGGTGGATCATTTTTTCTTAATTTTTTTTTCAATTTCTTTTTGCTATGGAAATGCAATGAAATATCAATTTTTTATAGGAGAGAGAGAGAGTGCACAAGATCTAGAGAGAGAGAAAGAGAATGTCAAGAAGTTAATGAGTAACAATATATTAAACATGCAGGTTTGAATTGTTTTCCTTGATATACTTTGACTTAAAACTAACGACATAATGCTTTATTATGCCCCCCTTCGAAGAAGGAAGGGCATATTGCTTTGCTACTATCTGTCGGTCTGTCGGTCCATTTAGTTTCCGTTCATTTTCTTCACAACCGTTGCACATACTGAAATGAAATTTGGTATACAGATTTATCAGGTAAATATCTAGGTCAAGTTCTGCTTTGGGTACAATCACCCCATTTCTCACAGAGTTATGCCCCTTGGACTTAGAAAACTTCCACTTATTTACAGTTTCCGTTCATTTTCTTTGTAGAGGTTGCACATACTGAAATGAAATTTAGTATACAGATTTATTAGCTGAATATCTAGGTAAAGTTCTGTTTTGGGCAGGACTGCACCATCAGACTTAAAAAAAATTCTACTTAATTTGCAGTTTCCCTTCATTTTCTTCGCAGAGGTTGCACATATTGAAATGAAAGCTGAAGGTCAAGTTCTGTTTTGGGTATAATCGCTCCATTTTTGTTAAGAGTTATGCCCCTGCAACTTGGAAAAATTCCACTTATTTGCAGTTTCCGTTCATTTTCTTTGCAGAGGTTGCACATATTGAAATGAAATTTAGTATACAGATTTATCAGCTGAATATCTAGGGTCAAGTTCTGTTTTGGGTATGATCGCGCCATTTTTGATAGAGTTTATGCCCCTTGGACTTGGACAGTAATTACATGTATTTAACCCCGTATTAACACAGAAAAATTTCAATTTTGGGGAGGGGGCATAAGTGTTTTACAAACATTTCTTGTTTAGTACATGTATTGTTAAAATAATTTTTTTTTTTAACATACAGTTGTTTACTCATTTTGATTCATATTCCATCTCTTATATCAGTAGCCAAGATTTGACTTGAAACAAATGGAATGTCTTGGATGTAGCACTAACAAAGTGATTATGGGACATTTAATTTCATGAAAAATATATTTTTGCACAATGTCTACAGTATATAAAACTTTCAAAATGGTGTTTTTATTGTTCTAACCTTCCTTGTGCAAAATGGCGATAGTGATATACATGATTAAAAAAATTAATAAAATAAAAAGGATAACATTCACTAAAAGGTTGCCAATCAGTTCCTATGTGAGGAAAAACTATGCATGATATAAACCTAAAATGTGAAGAAGCAGGGAATATCCGCTGTAAGCATTGTCCCCTACGTTCCTGTATATATATTTAGATCAACATAACGCAGGTATTTAAATGTCCTTCTCGATACATAGGGAATAATTGTGCAACACCCTCCTTAATCTTAATGATACCATCTTTTAGTGATATTGTCTTTTTGATTCTGTGAAAATTTCATTAGTATTTAAATACAAGAAGAATCTTACTTTTAAATGTGGCATACTCCAAAGGTTGCTAATTTAGAACTGTGTTCCTCTATGATTTTTTATCTAGCATAACAGGTTGATCTTGCCTATGGACTGCTGTAAGTTTGTGCTGTTTAACCTAAAAATCTCTAAGTTATAAAAAACCCACAACATTATAAGATGTTGGTTCAAAGATGTCTTTTTTTTGTACACAATATGTGCTGAAAGTATGAAAATGGGTATTGGAAAAACATTTATCTGTGGGTTAGGTTGCAGGAACACTTGTTTCTATTTAATAGTTAACTAAATGTTTAATCTATACAATGTAAATGAAATTAAAACTAAATAGAGTTGAATATTTATGTTAGCGAATGCTGATTTATTTACTTGGTACCTTCATTCATTACATTTACATGTATTATCTTACAGGAACAGTATTGACTTGAATTTTCCATTTCATCCTTTTTATTTTCTTTTAGGGTGAACTTGATTATGAACTTCAACCAAATGACAGAATTGTATTCATATCTACATTGCATGGAGGATGACATTCCAAGAAATAAGATTCATTAGACTTGTTTGCAAGCCATTCCCAGAACAATGGGGGTTAATGGAGAGTGACATGCTAAACACCGCCTTACTCTGTTACAGAGTTGAATTAAAAACAATTTAGGGCACACTAAATTTGTCTAAACTTTACACCCAGTGAACACTTTTCCATCAAGTGCAAAAGTGTACTCACTTTTACTTTGTTTAATATATACATATAATAACTCTGCAAATTCCATCTAGATTCCTACATGATGAATATGCTCTTTAAAAAAAATTGCCTCTTCATAAAATGTTTTGTTTGTAGATATATTTTTTTAAAAAATCACAAGTACAACAAATATTGTTTAAAAAAATCTTCTGCAAATAGGATCCAATCAGCTGGTTGAAATTTTAATGATCATATTGAATATGCTACAATACACCCAATTTCACTTGAGTACAAGGTGTATATGTCTACAGCAGGTGAAGTATGGTGTAGACAAATCAAGCACGCCCATAAGTTATGAGAATTATTGCAATGTGAATTAAAACAAAATGAACCAATGTACTGTATGTATGTATGCATGAGCTCATGGAAAGAAAGATGTATAACTGACCTTGCCCAATTGTCTTTGGTTTACAAATATGACAGAATTCTAGGTCAGTTTTTTCCCAAATATAGCCCCAATCCTGACGTTTCATCCTCGAATACAAACAATATTTTGTACAGCCCATTTCTATGTAAAAGAGAAATTGTAGACTGAAAGGGGAAAGTGTACGGGCATATTTCAGTGTGATGGGAGTTAAATATTGGCTTGTATTTATTGATATGTTTACAATTATTCATTATAAATACACAATGCTTTCATTAGAAATACTTTGTTATACACACTGAAATCAAACAAAATACCCTTTGCTAATATCTAACCAGTAAACCAAGGGTGTAAAAAGGGACCACGTTACTATACTTCAGTAGAATGTCTGAGTCTGTAATATTTGGTTTGGCTATTTGACCTTGGTTTGGGGTCATATCTTATTTATTATCATAATCAGCCTTTGGAACAAAGTTTGATCTTATCGTAACATTTTATTGCAAGAACTTCTTTACATTTTAATGTCTAGATGAGCATTGTCATAATACTGATGAGAAGAATTTAATTATTAACAAGAGGCCAAAAGGCCTCAACTTCTGATAAATTGTACAACTATCAATTCTATTTGAAACCTCATATTTAGATAAAGCCTTAAAATTCCAAAAGAAAGTAATCTTGATTATTGGTCAATACACTCTGAAAACTCAAGATGCATTAATTGACAAAGTTTGATGATTTTAAGCCACTTTTTGTTTGAAATATATGAATAGCCATGAAATTTGAAAAGTATGTCTGAGTGACCTCCTTTTTGGATAACATACTCTGACACCTCAAAATTTGTAAACTAACAAAGTTTAAGGATTCTAAGCCTTACTTGAAATATTTCAATACTGCCTGTAATTCCACAAGTGACCTACGTTTTAGTAGTCACATAACGAAGACCTAATTCTATTCCGTTCAGTAACTAAATTATTTAAATACTGCCATAAAATTCTAAAAGTAGGTAATTGTGGTGTACTTCTCAGTTAAAATACCTAAGATGCATAAACTGGCAGTTTGATAACCCTATGCCAACCTGAAATATTCAAATAAATTATTAAACAAGAGGCCCATGGGCCACATCGCTCAACTGAGCTAGGAAAAAAAGTGGAATCATGGTTTGAACAAATGTGAATACATGTACATTACCAATAATGATGCTTCCATATCAATATAACTAAACATGGCTTTTCTGTACTATAAAAGAGGATTTTTTATATAAAAAAGTTTGATTGTTTATTTTGCTCCGCCCTACCTTGGGGGTCATGATTTGAACAAACTTGATTCTACACTACCTGAGGATGCTTCCACCTAGTTTTATCTTTCTTGGCCCAGTGGTTCTTGAGAAGATTTTTCCTATATATTCCTATGTGAAACTTTTGATTCCCTATTGTGGCCCTGCTCTACCCCCGGGGTCAGGATTTTTTTTTAATAGACTTGATTCTACACTACCTGAGAATGCTTCCATTTAAGTTTCATCTTTCTTAGCCGAGTGGATCTTGAGAAGATTTTTAAAAGATCCCATTAATTTTTCACTAATTCATAATTATCTACCCTAGATTTTAATTTATCTGCTGAAGGGTGTGGCCCTTCATTTGAACAAACTTGAATCTCCTTCACCTGAGGATACTTTTTGGCAAGTTTGGTTGAAATTGGCCCATTGGTTCTTGAGAAGATGAAAATGTTAAAAGTTTACAACGACAACAACAATAACAACGACAGACAACAGTGAGCTAAAAATGATGTTAAATATGGCCACAGCATTCAGAAAAAAATTGCAAAATACCTTAATTTTGATCAATTCTCAAAAACTTACTTGTTTACCTGCCATTTTCGTCCGACATACGTCGTTTGTCAGTCATAAACTTTTGAACATTTTTAGCTTCTTCTCTGGAACTAATGAACCAATTCCAACCAAATTTGGTATACAGCATCTATAGGTGAAGGGGAAGAAAAATTTTGAATTTTATGCTCCCCGCCCCCCTGGGGCCTGAGGGATGGGGCCAAAACCCCTAAAATTAATGAAATCTTTAAAAATCTCCTTTACTCCTGGACATCAAGCAGTCAAACTGTTGGTATGAATGTAATGAACATTGAGTCCTAGTGCAAGGGCGGGGCTATATAGATTATAAAGTGAAAATGCCTAAATTCTTTGAAAATCTTCTTCTTTGCTCCTGGATATTAAATAAACTAACTAAGTACATAGATATGATAAGCAAGAGTGCCTATTCCAAAATTATGAATTTTATGGCCCCAGGGTCAGGGGTTCTGTTGTTAGGGCAGGCTCTGTTGATTATATAGTGAAAAAACATTAATTCTGTGAAAATCTTCTTCAGAATCTCTGCTCCTCGGTATTATATAAACTAATTAAGTACATAGTTATGATGAGCAAGAGTGCTTTACACAAAATTGTGAATTTCATGGCCCCAGGGTCAGGGGTTCTGGTGTTAGGTCTGGCTCTGCTCGTGGGTATTAAATAAATTAACTAATTAATAGTTATGATAAGCAAGATGCCTCTTTCAAAATTGCGAATTTTATGGCCCCAGGGTCAGGGGTTCTGGTGTAAGGGCGGGGCTCTATTGATAATATAGTGAAAATGCAATAATTCTTTGAAAATCATCTTCTCTAGATCTGCTCCTAGGTATTAAATAAACTAACTTAGTATAAGTACATAGTTATGATGAGCAAGAGTGCCTTGTTGCAACCACTATTGAAATAACGACCACTATTGAAATGATTATTTCAATAGTGGTTGCGAGTGCATTTCAATAACAAACATAATATGCAAACACTATTGAAATATGACCATTATTGGAATAATTATTTCAGTAGTGGATTGGAGTGTACTTCAATACCAAATACTAGTATAGGTTGCTAACACTATTGAAATAATGTTCACATTTGAAAGTAGTTCAAGAGGATTGAAGTGTCCGTGTATTAATTGAAATTTCTGCAAAAAATATTATGTTAGAAAAGAGAATGTACATGTAATCCATCCTTATAATTATTTTAATATTTGTGATACTTCTATAGAGTTTGCAATGTGTTTTTTTTGTTATTAAAATCATTGTCAGCAACTGTTCATTATTTTAATATCTATGGGAATCAATGTTTAAAGCACCATTGAAATCAATATTTCAATCACCTTTGAAATCTATTTTAATTGCTATTGAATATTTATTTCAAAAGGGAAAATTATTTCAACAGTGGTTGAAACCTGTGTTTGGAATTAAAATGCACTCCAAACGGTGTGTTCCCTGAACGTCTACTCATTATAAATTTATTTTATTATCACCCTCAATTAAGGTAATTCCACTCTCCTATGATGTCATAGGTTTTTGCAAAAACTGTTTTTACTTTGAATTAATACCTGATAGCACAAAATCTTTTGTAGGAATGCTTTTCAGTAAGTGTACTGATAAATCTTGTAAAGTAAAGGAATTTTAAAAATGCATTTTTCTTTATTTAATCAATTATTCAATCCTTAAAAAATATTGACAAGGGCAATAACTCCTTCTCAGGTCTCAATTCAAAAGTATTTTATAAGTAGGAAGTATTTAGGAACAGTCAGCATCAGAATTATGCATTTTAACCAGTTTTGAAATATTTTTCATAATACTGTTTGCAAAAAATGTGCAAGTTTTTTGTTGACATATACTTCTGTTTATTTATGTCTCCCATCTTAAATAATATGGCAACCTATACATTTTTTGCAATAATTGAAAATTTTAAAGTATATTAAATGAAAATAAATGCAGTTTTTGTACTTTGAACCATTAGAATTGTGAGGGTGGAAGACCTTAAGGGGTCTTCTAAGGGTTACAGGTAGAGTTTACCTGAATAATATATACATGTATCTATTAAAGAAGGAATTCTACAGCAAAATTTTATTATTTTTTAAAAGATTTTATCCACATCAATTGGTGTATATTTTTCATAAATAATTTTTAGCAACAATTAAAAACACCCTTTATCTGGGTTTTTTTGTAACATGTTTTGTTACTAAGATGTTAATATTGTACCTTTATTAACGGCAAGCTTAAAACTTAAAAAATAAGGCCTCTTAAATTCCCCACCCCACCCGCAATTAAATTGGATTTCTGAAATTATTTTTGAAGATAAGTTGTCAAAAATTCTCTTTACGTGTCTCCGGTAGTACTGTTTCTTTTTCGAAGTTTAAAAGTTTTTTTAATAAAAAGTATTTTTTGTATGAACAAATATTTGTTTGGTGCTTTCAATTATATATATCAAGTATTTAATATCAAGTTTATGGTACATGTAATTTAATGAACTCCAGATTTATAACAATACGGTATTTTAGTTTGGATGAATTAACTGAACTTGAAGTTGAGTACAAAAGTTTATCAGTAAATATCAAAGTATTTAATCACAGCAAGGTAACACAGGTAAACTCTACCCGTACCCTTAGAGGACCTCTTAATTGAGTGTGATTATTAAATAATTTTATAATGAGTAGACGTTCAGGGAATAAACCCTCCAAACGACCACTATTGAAATAATTATTTCAGTAGTGGTCGTATTTCAATAGTGGTTGCATACTTTGTTTGCTATTGAAATGCACTCTCAACCACTATTGAAAATAATTATTTCAATAGTGGTTGCAGGTATAGTTTGTTATTGAAATGCACTCTTAACCACTAT